TAAATAGTTGGAATCAACGTTCACCCGGCTAAAAAATTCGATTTTGGCGAAAAATCCAAGATCTGACACTGATCCTTGTGACCCTTGGGCCGACTTTCCCCCTGGAAAAATCCAAGATCCGACACCTTGACCTCCGGTGAAAAAATTTTTTTTTCAGTTTTCACTTTTTCCACATACTTTTGATAGTTCTGAATAGCCCGTCGCTTAAATAGTTGGAATCAACGTTCACCCGGCTAAAAAATTCGATTTTGGCGAAAATCCACTTGCCCCGGAAAACCCAAAAATCTGACCCTTTGGCTGGGGGCAAAAAAAACGGTTTCTCAGTTTTCACTTTTTCCACATACTTTTGACAGTTCTGAATAGCCCGTCGCTTGAATAGTTAGAATCAACGTTCACCGGGCTAAAAAATTCGATTTTGGCGAAAGTCGACTTTCCCCCTGGAAAAACGGAAAATCTGACCCTTTGAAAATCTGAAAAAAAAAACTTTTCCAGTTTTCACTTTTTCCACATACTTTTGAGAGTTCTGAATAGCCCGCCGATAATTTCACTGAATCAAAAAAATTGTCCATTTCGTAACAGTAGATCCGGAGAAAATCCTGATTGAATTTTCCATTGATCATTCATCGATTTCTAGATCCTCTTTACATTTTTCGCTGTAACTCTGGTTCTATTGGGGCAAAACGAGTGTTTTCTTTTTCAATAGACATGTGAGGAAATTTCACGTGAAAGAAGGTGAGGTTTATGGAAAAATCTCAATTCATAGATCATTATCGATCTCTAGATTCTTTGGCATTTTCCGCAGTAACTCTCGTTCTGCGGGGGCAAAAGAGATGATTTTTTTTCATGTGATGGGAAATTGTACGATTTGTCACTTCCGACCCCCTCTCCCCTATCACGTGGCAAATACATGAAATTACGACAGGATGATTCGATTGAAAAAAAAAACTAGAAAACGTAATGCAGTCGGTTGATAGAGCAGTAAATGCAATTTTGCATCGTCTTGTCGGTAGTTGTAATGCCAATCTTACAATTGGCTGGCAAACACCCGGGGGGCAGGATCTCGGGGCGATAAAAGTGAAAGAGCAACTCTACAAACGCTCCTGGGCAACCAGTTGCCCCAGCCGCTAAAACCAGTCCTCCAATAGGTTTCTCATTTTTTTTTATTCAGTTTATATTATTCATTTTTTATTCTGTAAAAGCCATACAAGTATGACGCGTTTGGTGTGTAAGGATCAAATGGGAGAGAACAAGTCACACGTGAAAACTTTCTATTGAGTTGTGGTACAAAGTGGTCTCGTTAGCGCTCATTCAATTTTTCTTGGGTATTTCCATTGGCAAATGGTGGGGAGGGGGGATCGAAAATAACTCCATTCGATGGATAAGAAAATTTCTCGTTGGGTGAAAAAAAAACGATTCGTTTCATCCAAACGGTCTCAGAGAAAATCCCAATTTTATTTTTCATAGATCATTTATTGATTTATCGATCATTTTCGCGTTTTTAGGTGTAACTCTGGTTCTATGGGGGCAAAATGGAATATTTTTCTTTCATTTAATAGGGCAGGAAATTTCTCATCGAATTGAAAAAAAAAACTTTTCGTCTCAGCGGCTGAGGAAAAAATCCTAAATCAAGTTTTGTAGATCTTCTATCAATCACTTTATCATTTTCTATAGGAGCAAAATGGATGATTTTTTTTTCATTTTGATGGGTTTTTTACGCTCCAACAAATGGCGTCACTGTGAGAGTTTTTGATACTCACCACCAAAATGCTGATAAAATTGCGAGAGATAAGTCAAAATGGATAATCGATCTGGTACAGAGCACGAGGCCATGTCCTCAGCATCAAGTAGTGCAGGGATGCCCAGATGTTGTTCGGCGATTCTGAAGGCCAGTTCGTTGTTGCCATACACGTCGTCCTTGTTCAGGCTATTGAAGTCACTGTTAACACGTGAAAAAAAGAGAAATAAGGAACAGATTTTTTTTTTCCTCCTTCAAATTCCACTCATTATCTCCTATTATAGTCATCTTTTTCGATGTAAAATCCCTGGACGAATGACTCACAAGACCATTTTAAACCTCTCAACCTTGATAATTTAATCACCAACCGCCTCTGAGTCTCCTTTATTTCCCCCAATTGAGTCAATTTTTATCAGCATCAAAGTGTAAACAAATTTATCTGAATCTATCATCTCTAGATCAATGAATATTATCATATCGACAATGACCTCAATCCATCGCTCGATAAAAATTATCTCAGATTGAAAAAAAAAACGACTTGTTTCACTCTCCCACAAGCCGAGATACAACCGCAAATGTAACCTAGCGCTCGATAAACGATCTACAACGATTGAATCAGGATTTTTTCCAATATGACCAAGGTAAAATGGAGCATCTTCAGTCACATTCGATGGGAAATTTTACCACCTCTACAATGAAGAAAAAATTATACACTTTGTGCCCATAGAACCGGAGATACAGCTAAAAACATGAAGGTGATCTAGCAATCGATAAATAATATCGGAAAAATGGAATTAGGATTTTCTCCGCAACAAATTGTGCAAAACCGACGATTTTTTTTATTCCCCCTCAATTTTCTGCATCTATTCAACAAAATCATCAACAACCCCCTATTCTCACCCCATCGATCCCCCGGGAATGAAAAATTTGTTCAACGGAAATTTGTTTCAACGCAAATTTTCTTTTTTTTTTTCATTTTACTTTTTTTTTGTTTCTGAAAAAAAAATCATGTTGCGGTGGGGACATACAATACCTCCCCCTTTTCGTCCTGGATGACTCAGAGGGTCGCCGCGTCGTGCCACACCCGTTCCCTAGGTTTTATACTCCCGGTCCTATCCGCCCACACACTGCATTTAACTGTCATTCAACTTATCGGTACTCCCCCCCCCCCCCCCC